TCTCTTAGTTTTCCTCAGAGGAACCCGTTCGTGGACACTCCTATCGGAGTAGTTCTGCGTTTGTTCCTAATGTGTCAATAATCGAATCGATAAGTACCATGGATTTGCTTCTTTGGGTTTCTGCTAACGATTCTTTTTACGGTTCCAATTCTTTCTGGCCCAACTCGGAATAAAACGGAACATCACTTTTCCGTTTATGAATAGCCAGTCGTTTCCCATTCATATCTGAGTAGAAATAAGGTGGGATATCAGTGAGAAGGCATTTTAAAAAATTGCTTACTCAATTCATGCTCCTTTATTAACCCATTGAGCTATGGGTTTTTTTTGACTGGCCATGCCCCCAAAGGTGAATTTTTTATTGCAGATGGGCTCCAGCTCTGAATTTCTTACTTTTACTAGTCAAAGCAGCATATACTGTACCTCGGGTTTATGAGAAAATATCCTTATACCAACATTCTCAATGTTTCTTGGATAATCAGTAGTGCTTCAGGGTTTGGTAGTCCTGGTAGCAAGAGGCGATGGAGAGCGCTACACCAAATTCCAAGCACATATACATGGTCTCCTCTCTCTGGCATGGTTTTCGCGCGGAATGCTTGAAAACGTGAAATTGAGGGTGATTTTCCTAAGCCCCTGTCCGAGGCACAGGATGAGGGAAATGCCTTTCAGTGAGTTTTGCTGGGTTGTCAACGCTCTTTCGCCCTCCATGCATGGAGTTGCGAATAGTGGGGCATTCTTCGACAAGCTTCTTCGCGAGATTCTGTTTGAACTTGCTGAAGGATATTTTTTTTACCAGATCTCTCTCGATACACCACGTAGGCGTTGAGAACTGCCATGTCGAGTAAGTGGAAAATGAATTCTTGTACCACTTGACGAATTTGCGTACGGAGTCCACAAAGCTCATTAGCATGTCTGTTTTATCTACAGAGCCCTTCTTCCGTTTGTAATCAACGATACTTTCGGGCTTCACTTTCTTCTGGCCCATGGCATGATCAAACTTTTCTGTCTCCTTCATTGCTGGCTCGTGCACACTACTCAGCATGTAGACGTACCTCTTGTCGTGCCACTTCACTGATAACAGCTTTTCTGTATCCAGGAATTTTACTTTCCCCCTTTTCACCTTTGCAAATACAGGTTTTTTCCTCCTTACTCTCACTGGTGCCGGTGAGTAGCAACATGTCATTGAGTTTATTAAGCCCCGAGCATATGGTTAACAGTTGCATCTTTTACACTGGAAACGGATCAATCCTGAAGTAGTCACATTGGTGTTGTCTTGGCCTGTCAGGATTCAATCCAAAATATCCGAATTCAGTGTTTGCACCAGTGTAGACAATGAAGTTCAGAATGTAGCCTTTCCTAACGTCGCACATGACGAATATTTTTTACTAAACAAACTCGCTATGGACGCGCCTTTGGCGCTCTGCGATCTAAGGCATCCGTTTTAGATGCTCATCCCTACTAATGCGGTCAAACTTCTTTGTCCATGGGTTCAATTCTCGCACCTTTAAAGTAAATGTGTGAAAAACATATTCTTATTGACGCTATGTCATTTGTAGCATAAGGATCACCGATTAACAATTGTGTGTAGTTTAGTGTTCCATTGGTGTATTCAATTACTGTCTCTGGTCCAGGCACTCTTGATAGCATATCAATCTCCAAAAATGTAGGAGTAATAGTAACCATATGAACCACATAAGCCAATTGAGNGCTCCTTCATTAGCTCCTCCCCATTCATTAGCTCCACCCCTAATGAAGTTTTGGTTCCTCATCTGGAAAAAATGCGTCCAGGTTGACAAAGCGCTCAGAATGAGCCTACCGGATGTCCCAAAAATGACTAGAACATCATGATGCAATATTTGTGCTTACAGGTGGGAGTCATTATTTAATAGCAACGTAATCCTGAATGGAATATGATCGATTTTCTTGCGATTCACAACAATCGTTCCGCCGATGCTAAGGTTCAGTATTTATGGTGTCAAGACCCACTTCCAAATTGATTGATGAATCTTCTTATTGACCTTCTCTTAGTTTTCCTCAGAGGAACCCGTTCGTGGACACTCCTATCGGAGTAGTTCTGCGTTTGTTCCTAATGTGTCAATAATCGAATCGATAAGTACCATGGATTTGCTTCTTTGGGTTTCTGCTAACGATTCTTTTTACGGTTCCAATTCTTTCTGGCCCAACTCGGAATAAAACGGAACATCACTTTTCCGTTTATGAATAGCCAGTCGTTTCCCATTCATATCTGAGTAGAAATAAGGTGGGATATCAGTGAGAAGGCATTTTAAAAAATTGCTTACTCAATTCATGCTCCTTTATTAACCCATTGAGCTATGGGTTTTTTTTGACTGGCCATGCCCCCAAAGGTGAATTTTTTATTGCAGATGGGCTCCAGCTCTGAATTTCTTACTTTTACTAGTCAAAGCAGCATATACTGTACCTCGGGTTTATGAGAAAATATCCTTATACCAACATTCTCAATGTTTCTTGGATAATCAGTAGTGCTTCAGGGTTTGGTAGTCCTGGTAGCAAGAGGCGATGGAGAGCGCTACACCAAATTCCAAGCACATATACATGGTCTCCTCTCTCTGGCATGGTTTTCGCGCGGAATGCTTGAAAACGTGAAATTGAGGGTGATTTTCCTAAGCCCCTGTTCCGAGGCACAGGATGAGGGAAATGCCTTTCAGTGAGTTTTGCTGGGTTGTCAACGCTCTTTCGCCCTCCATGCATGGAGTTGCGAATAGTGGGGCATTCTTCGACAAGCTTCTTCGCGAGATTCTGTTTGAACTTGCTGAAGGATATTTTTTTTACCAGATCTCTCTCGATACACCACGTAGGCGTTGAGAACTGCCATGTCGAGTAAGTGGAAAATGAATTCTTGTACCACTTGACGAATTTGCGTACGGAGTCCACAAAGCTCATTAGCATGTCTGTTTTATCTACAGAGCCCTTCTTCCGTTTGTAATCAACGATACTTTCGGGCTTCACTTTCTTCTGGCCCATGGCATGATCAAACTTTTCTGTCTCCTTCATTGCTGGCTCGTGCACACTACTCAGCATGTAGACGTACCTCTTGTCGTGCCACTTCACTGATAACGGCTTTTCTGTATCCAGGAATTTTACTTTCCCCCTTTTCACCTTTGCAAATACAGGCATGTTTTTCCTCCTTACTCTCACTGGTGCCGGTGTCATCGTTGTACAGTAACTCAAATAATTCGGGGCTCGTATACCAATTGTCAACGTAGAAAATGTGACCTTTGCCTAGTTAGGACTTCATCAGTGTAACCACAACAGAACCGGACAGTCCTAAGTTAGAAAAATATCCGAATTCAGTGTTTGCACCAGTGTAGACAATGAAGTTCAGAATGTAACCTGTCCTAACGTCGCACATGACGAATATTTTTTATACCAAAGCGGTATCGCCTGGATGGTTTGTACGGCTTAAAAGAGCAGTACCGTACATACCGGTGGACCAGTAATCTCTCAAGGTGTTCTTCACTGTAAAGTTCATAAACATTGTAGCAGCAAGAAAAACAAATTCTTAGAAACGCACGTGTCAATCTATTCCTGCATCTTCGATTTTGGCTCGGTTCAGGGTTGGTCTTCAGAGTCCAGGCGTTCTCTTTTGGCTCGTTCGCTATGTTGCCATTACATCACGGCCGAAAATCAACTTGAAGCAGTCAATTTCTCTTGCTAAAGCAGGCAGCGAACAATCAACATTAATGCCAGACCTAGATGAGTCGACCTTGACTTTTTTAAGGGTGAATGCTCCTGTATCCCGGGAAATTTCATCTTGCCGCGCACGTTTGTCTGGAGTACTGGCAGGTGTTGATGGTGTTTTCTGCAGTTCTTCGTCTGATTGCCCGCAGACATTGTCTTCATCAGACTCCGCCACCATTGATTCATCGTGAATAGCGATCAAATCACCTTAAGAATCACTATTAGAAATCACTTCGCAAATTTCTCTCTCCCCCGCGCCAGTACCCATGTTCCTACGTGCAGCCATGTTGTTTGTTAACAGCTAAATTAAAATGGGCACTGGAACGTCCAAGTCCGTAAGACATCAAGCGGCTCCCTTGTCTACAACCACCTTGCCCGTGATACCTTTAATCATGATTGCCGAGCTTTCCAATTAAGTTATTGAAAATCAAGGGCATGACCATGTACATTTAAAAACCCGAGTAGGATGGGTTATTGATGTAGTCACCCTCACAAAAACCGGCTCCACAGTATTTATTTATTTCTCTGTTACTTCCTGCAGCTGCTTGAAGATTACAGCACTAACTAGGACAAAATAAATTCATGAACCTGGACCTAAAATATCAAATTGGGTGTACCTGCAAAGCCGCGAATATACAAATACGAAGATACAGGACGTACCGGTAAGGCCACACTCCTGCAGGAACGCGAGCGCACGGACGTGTCGGTACGGGTATACCGCTCAATGGGATAATACACAGACGTCATTTCTCTTTATCAGGGGATAGGAAGAAACACATTACAGGCGCTCACCAGACCAACAATAGAAATACTTCCGTAGCAAAATATGGAAAAAACTTTCCCGTATGAAACATCCTCATTTGAAAGAACGAGAGCCAACAACATACAGTATTTAAGCAACATGAGGAACCTCCAAAAATTTTGCGAAATATCTCAAGGAAACCTGATCACTCAAACCCAAGGAGGAAATCGGAACTCAGACATTTAATATTACAATTTATATTAGAAGAATAGAATAATTAGAGCATTCAAAGAAACAGAGAAAAGACATTGCTTTTTGCAATAACTATTTTCAAATAATAATAAGCGGAAAAATAGTTGTGACAAAACGGGAAATGTCTCCTGTTGCAAAGACATCGATAAATACGGGCCAAGATGGAAATGGAAATGTTGAACAGGGTCCGCGGGTCTTTGGGAAAGGATTGCCAAAATAATTAAGATTGACAATAGAACCCTAGTTCAAGTTGTCTAATGGACGTTTCAACTCCATCATCCATGATGTTATGAAAAGGTAATAAACATTTCAGATCATTTGTTGTTGCAGGAAATTTCCCAAATTACCGACAATCCATTTGGCCAACAATTACTTGACCACCATCCCAGTAATGAAGAGCGACAGCTTGGAAGTACTCTACCTCTATAGTAATCAAATCAAGAATGTGGAGTTCGACAGATGGACAACTCCGAAATTAAAGATACTCTGGCTCGGGAACAATTACTTGACCTCCATCCCAGTAATGAAGAGCGACAGCTTGGAAGAACTCTACCTCTATAGTAATCAAATCAAGAATGTGGAGTTCGACAGATGGACAACTCCGAAATTAAAGAAACTCTCGCTCAGGAACAATTCCTTGACCTCCATCCCAGTAATGAAGAGCGACAGCTTGGAAGAACTCGACCTCCATAGTAATCAAATCAAGAATGTGGAGTTCGACAGATGGACAACTCCGAAATTAGAGAAACTCTCGCTCGGGAACAATTCCTTGACCTCCATCCCAGTAATGAAGAGCGACAGCTTGCAAGTACTCGACCTCCATAGTAATCAAATCAAGAATGTGGAGTTCGACAGATGGAGAACTCCGAATTTATGGATTCTCAGGATGGGGGAGAATTCCTTGACCTCCTTCCCAGGAATCAGGAGCTACAGATTGAGAGAACTCGACCTCCATAGTAATCAAATCAAGAATGTGGATTTCGACAGATGGACAACTCCGAAATTAAGCATTCTCAGTCTGGGTATGAATTCCTTGACGTCATTACCAGCTTTCAATTGTGACGATTTATTAGACTGGTTTCTGGATTCCAAGTTAATGGGATGCTACAGTGAGTGGTGGTTTTTCTTTATTCCATGATCTTTAAAATAATGGGATATTTCCATATTTCTCTTCATTTTAACGACTTCTTTTTCATTATGTTCTTGTGTGCATTTGTGTGAAAGGTAGGTATACCTGACTTTTGTACTGCAAGACAAGCGATGAACCTATCCGAAGCCCATAATGGAGTAGTTCCAGGAAACCAATAACTGTCTTTACGATACCGGTACTCCCTTCTACTCCCTTCATCACATGACCCGAATGCGAGAGTATTCCAACGATCTCTTCCTGAAAATTGTTTTTCGTTATTCGAGTGAAGTGAATGAGTCATTGAAATTCGAACGCATCCTAAAATTTCCTGCCTCGAACCACGAATCTTCTGAAAAGACATGAGAAATTAGGTGGTTTTATGTAACATTTTCTTCCAAGAAGATATGGAATTGTAATTTACTTGGGTATGTGATCAAAGCTGCAATACGTAATATTTTCGCTTGCAGCGATTTCATAGTTTTATTAAGAAAAATGTATTCATGTTAAAAGTGGTCACATTTATTTGCATTGAAGTATGTCTCCCGTTTCCCGTTCATTATTCATGAACTAATTATTTGTGCATGACTTGGAATTTCCTTAATTTTTATTCCGAAGTGATAAGATTTTTAATTGCATGTGCTCTCCTTGAGAATATAAATTGTTTTATATACAAATTTTCCTCATGATTTGATTATTATATCTGCCCAAAGACGGCAGTTTCTCCCCACACAGCACAGGGATGTCCCAGGGATGTCCCTAACTGGTCGATTTGTCCCCATGGCTTCATAATATATCCTGAAGACATCTTCTTTCGGACGGTTTCGGACATCTCGCAAGGGATGTCTTCCGGACGTCTTTTAGACATCTTTAGTCGATATCTTAGAGATATTCCTTTTCGGGATATCTTTAAGACATCCTTAGTTGAATGTTTCTGGATATCCTAGAGGGGATATCTTGAAGATATCTTCAGTCGAACGCTTTTCGATATCTCGAGGGAGATGTCTTAGGGACATCTTAGGGATGTCTTTAGGCATCTTCAGTGCTTTCTGTCGCCTTCAGTCAGGTGTATAGATGGTATAGATGGTATAGATGGTATAGACGGTAGATGTCTCCCGTGAGCCCTGGTCTGCAACCTCAGAGCTTTTCTATCGAATTCATCTACTTGTTTAGTCCTGAGGAAAAGTAAGGATTTTCGTACCATACATAAGGAAAACTGTCACCAGGGAAAGTGAAAAGATTGCGGTCCGAATTTTAATTTATTCCTTTATATTCTCATTAATGGTGTCTGATCGGCATGTCTGGATACAACTATATTGGCTGGAGGCCTGAGTCCATACTGCTTGAGAGGCATGAGACTACGTCACATCATCCATGACCACTCGTGTCAAACGTGCTAATTTACGTCCCTTGGAGATGTGTCTCCTATGATGGGCCCCTTTAGGAACGGTATTTTCCTCCCCCTTAATCGTCACTCTTCAATCGATCAAGAACTTTAGAATAGGTGTTCCTAGATGAAATAGAGACATCTATGAAAGCAAAGGGTTCTCCTTGCGATGGGGAATGAGTCCATTGCGGATAGGAAGCCCCCTACAAATACTACCTAGAACTTCTCACTTCTCCCAATGGGATATCTCTGGGACATCCTTCGGATATACTTGTGCTGCAAGAAAAAGACATCCTTGGGATGTCTTTACCTCCTGACATCGTGATATCCCTGAGATGTCCCCACAAGTAATGTCTGGGACTTGCCCCAAGGGAATATCCCTGGAACATCTCTGGGATGTGCTATTTCTTCAAGAAAGGGACATCCTTGGGATGTCATTGGACCCAGATATTTTGATATCCCTAAGATGTCCCTATTCCTTGTCTCTGGGACATCGCACTTGTCCCAAGGGGATATCTCTGGGATATCTTTGGGATATACCTGTGCTGTGTGGGTCTTGATTGCGGTAGCAAACAACAGGATCATTCCATGCTGACTCATGCAACATTTTATTGACAACTTGGAAAATTCACTGCAGCTGCTTCACCAGTTCCCGAATGAGGAAGTCGAAAGCAGATAGGTTACAATGTAGAATTTTTCATATCTCTAATCATACTAATTTCTTAATTCGCTTCCGAAGACAACAATATATTTTGGAATTTCGTGACTCAAAACCAAAAGCACGCAACCTCTCGAATCCAATCTCCAGAAAAAGTGAGAGAAAAAATTCAGTTGAATTTAAAGAAGCGCTTCATTTGGAAGAAAAATGAAGTTAAGAATATTCTCAAATTCATTGCACAACCGAAGGTCATATCTCATGATTTCTAAATGCCAAAATAATCCTTCCTTCAGGAAGGATTTAATATTACAAGATGAAGAGCTAAAGAGTACTGTTTCCATAAAATTGTTGATTGGTCTCTTTTTTTCCATCGCACATGCCTACAACTTCCGTGCAGTGTGTTCATTTAAATTATTCTATTTGCCATCCATACTCAGAATTAAATATGGGACTGTGCTTTTTTACAATTGTTTTTCTATGTCCGTGGAATAATTCAACCGATTGATGCCGTATATGTAAAAAATGTGACTCTCCACTTTCAACTTTTTAGGGTAAACTGCTCAGTATTCAGTATTTTGCTGCTTTAAATTAAAATAGAGTATTCCCACGTCCATTCCAGGTGTTTCGGCCAACACGAAAGTGTACCTTCAACACAACCGTATAGCAACAATCGATGGCTGGATCCTTTACCGTATCCTAAAGGAATTTTCCTATGGCGATGGTTTTCTCAACCTAGAAGGTGCGTACCAGGGCTGCCTCAAGCTCTTCCTGCTTCTTTCTTAGTTGTTCTTTCTTACAACCTGGCCATCCTGTATTTCAGACAATCCAATCCAGTGTGACTGTGGTATAGCCTGGTTGACATTTGCGCCTGAATCGATGAAGAAATTAAATGGAACCTGTGGAAATGGGACCTATTTGAAAGACCCTGATTTGGCAGAATTGCTGAAAGAATGCCGCAGTGAGACAGTGACCAAGCCCAGTCTTACGCGTCCACAGTGTCCCAACTTCGTAGGAGGTCCCGGATGTATCGATTCCCAGCATGCCCAATTGTGCAATGAAGGTACTTTCAACACTTCCTTTGCCTGTCCTAACGAGACCCAAGTCTGCTGCATTCGCCCCGTTGCAGTTGATCCACCTCGGCATGGAAATGTAAGTCTACATTCTGTTTTGCCTTCCATGAGGACATCACAGGTGCTGTTGGGTACAGCATTATGAGATCGAAAGAATATTATTCCCGGTTGCAGGCGGAGGTGACCGGCTGTGGACCACTTCCTGGGATCATAAATGGACGCTTCCATATTCTCTCTTGTTGGAATGACGGGCTGAGGTAGGATTATTACAAATTATCTGGTGTTTTCTCTGGATGGACGGGATTTCCTCATGGACTTCATGAAATGACACGAGAGTTACCATGCAATTACATTACCACCCTGGGACTCGACTTCGGTTTTTGGCACATCTTTAGATGGAACTTCAATTTTCGGAATTAAAATACTTTAACAATTATTACACGTGGCTAGGTAAATATCGATTGATTCTTGAAGCGACCCGAAGCTGCCGGGATTTATTCGGCCTGAACCTCCTATGAAGGTGGAACTTCAGAATTCGCTACTGACAAGACCTCATCTTTCTTTCAGTTACAAACATGAACCAGAATGCATTCAAGGTGGGAAATACATCATCGGAAGTAAAGTGAACTACACATGTGAGAAATATTACACTCTACGGGGCCCACGTGTTCGGACATGTGAGGCGAATGAAGAATGGACTGGCCCAGATCCCCTATGTGAACCTGGTCTGTTTTTTTCTAAAAACTGTCCCTATGATCCCTGGAATTTGTACGATGACGTGATTCCAAAATGGATTTTCCCGCTTTTCCAGTGTGTGGCAGGGGAAACCTGGTTCCATCGCCTCAGATATTGATTCGTGGAGGGAAGGAAGCATCCCCGGGATCTTCTCCTTGGCAAGTGGCCATATATGATGTGCAGATGAAAGATATTATCTGTGGAGGAGCTCTAATTGGAAGACAATGGGTTCTCACTGCAGCACATTGCGTCGTGTACCACAATCATGACAATACCTTTACAGTTCGAGATGTTGAAGATTTCTTCCTCTATCTCGGGAAGCACTATCGAAACGTGTCCAGGGACGATAAATTCGTGCAAAAATTGAAGGTGCAGAACCAAATGTATTTTGTGTTATTTGCGCGTCAAAATGTATATTCGATCCCAGGTGGATAACTATTCCACATTGCTTGCAGGTGACTCGGATCATCGTGCATGAAGAATACCCCGACTTGGAGTCAGACATAGCTCTAATGAAACTCCATGAATCGGTTAATCTGACGGCACGGGTTCAGTTGATCTGTCTTCCGTTCAATGATGACCTGTCAGATGACTTTTTAGATGATTCTCAATACGAATTTTGCGGTCCTCACAAAGGAAAGGTTAGCGAAGGTCACTGGAATGCCTCTTTTTATTTGGCTCACATTATAATCTTTGTTCTATCGTCAGGTGGCAGGCTGGGGAAGAGACGCCTCAAACCAGGCAACGGATGTCTTGACTGAGGTTCGACTGACAGTTATACCAAAGCGTGAATGCCGAAATAGAATTCATATGATGACAGAAGTTCTCCCTGATTCGATAACAAGAAAAACGTTTTGTGCTGGAGAACGCAAAAATACCTCCTCATTCGGGAGTGAGGATGGAAAAGGTATGAGAAACCCTGCTACTCCAATCGCGTACGAATTGCATCCTTGCCAATAATCACTTCATCTGCATCGTATGGAAATGCACGCGAAAAAGACATGTGTAATGCAATACGGACGTGATTTCTCAGCGAATTGTAAGAGTTGGATGTCGTGAATTGTGTGCTATTTATACTATAAAAATGTAAGATCATGGTATTCACAAGTGCATCATCTCATGATTTACAGGATATATCGTGAATTCCAGCATATTAGTGTGACGATATTATTTTCTCGTAGAATACAGGACGGTGTGTGAAGGGGATTCGGGGAGTCCCATTGTCTTCGCCTCTCATAACATTCCGAAAAGCCAGTGGGTTGTAGAAGGAATCGTCAGTCATATCTACACCAAATCAGGGCAAAGTTGCTCTAATTATGAACCTGGCCAGTACGGTGTATTCATTAGAGTCAATAAGTGAGTATGGTTTCTCTCATTGCCCTCCTATGTGAAGCCGTCTGGTAAATATAGGGGAAAGTAACAATTTTAATGAAAAAGGGCATCTGAATAGATGCATGGTTTTATAATTCTTCGTCAAGGGTTCCTTGTTAATAATAAAATGATTTAGAGCTTTCTTGGAGTGTCCTTGGAAAAAGCTAGAGTGATCAGGGATTTCTAAGTTTCCTTTTTTCGAAACACGGTTTCTAAGTATGAACAAAAATGATCAAATTTAACTATTGGCAACCGGGACAAATTCTTTTCTTATGATATTGAAGGGGTCTGTCCTCATTCCCCTCATTCAGATTTTAATCATGTAATGCACCACACTTTTAATTTATCTCCATAGTGAATGACTAAGCAACAAAATATTAACAAGTCTCCGCGCTCATAAGCATCTAAAATGAATATTCATTAATAAATTCTAAAAAGAGGTTGGTTTTACGTACATGTGCAGTGACAGATTAAATGCAAATATTTTTTCAGCATAACGCAAGCTCAAAATTTACCAAAATGAATTGAGGTCCGGATATATTTTTCGGTAATTGGAGCTCCCAACGTAATGGTATTTTTTCTTTCATTCACTCATGGCAGAAATTTCCATTTGTCGTCTTTAGGGATAGTTAACTCGTTAATACCGTTCTTCTCTTCCAACAGGTTTCTTCACTGGATCGAGGAGCGGATGTCGATGAACTCATGAACACCAGAGTCAAGATCTATAACTTCTCATTCGATGATCTCAATTCTATTTTCAAGATACTTCCGATTGGGATACAGTTTTTTCTTCTCATGACTAAATGTTGAGGCAGTAATTTGAAATTGGTCAAGGGGTTTTACATTCGGCAGAAGCTACCCGGGAGGGGTCGGAAAGGACAAAAAAAAATCAAGCGCGATTGCACAGAAAATAATTGATTTGGTTGGAAAGCTTGCAAGAAAGAAAGTCAAAAGGATAATGAAATACGAGAACCTGCCGCATTCGCATCTAGACGGATTTTTGCATTTCTGTAAAAACACAACTTTTCAAATTCCAGTAAGTAGTACTCTTTTTCTGTAAGGATATCTTCAATTTTAGTTGCAGCTTGTCGTCAAGGCGCGGTGGTCCGTAAGAAATTGTGAGAAATTATAAAGTAAATGTTGAGTGAAAACCGAAGGGAGAGTATTAGTTTTATCGTTCGTTTCAATGCACCGTGTCCTCAATTGTTGCTAAATATGCATCTTTCCGCATATTTCCTTGAGGAATGTATTATTTCCCAAGATCGGTCATGTAAAAAAATACACCCACTCGGAGGAAGGGGACCCCACGTGAATCATGTATTCAATGACGAAGTTCTACATGAAAAGCCTTTGGCAAGAAAGTCGATGCTCTCCTTTCTTCCAGGAACTCCATTAATTTTTGTCATTTTTCTTTATTCCAGGCATTTTATCAAGCAAAATGTGCTTGCAAGTGAATCTTCTAAGGTATCTTCATCTTTCCTTAAATTGTATTACATGCTCGTTACTCTTTGATGCTTCAGTGATGAGAAGTTTTGTCATTCATGGACAAATAAAAAGATTTACATCTTATAGGAAAAACGTGCAGGTTGTTTCACGAGATGTAATGCCCATTTTCAAAAGTATTGATTGCACGTGTTGTTTCCTATGAGTGAATGCCTTTAAGAGGCACTTGAGCGAATATAATTCTCGCATTATTGGAGACACTTTCTTTGGCATGAAAAAAAAAATCCGCTCCACCTCAAAGCAATCGCTTATTCGTTCCCACCTAGATATCTCACGACATCAATATCGAAACTCTGGTTCAACGTTTGACTAAACAAAACAAACTCTCGAGATCACAAGTTCTGTCGTGGCAACCGTAGCGGGAGGAGGCGTTGAGCCTTTTTCTATCTCGGTAGTGGATGATGTGGAACACATTATTCTTCCGTCTTTATTTCCTAGGATAGACCTAAGTGTCGCGAGGAATGCAACCTTGGATCGAAGAAAGTTGCCACCCTAGAGAAGACATTGCAGCTGCACTCGATTAGACGATGAGCTTTTTGGATAAATTTGTGCCCGAAACCCTCAACGGACTTTTCTTTTTAAAACACGGATAGAACCAGTGAATCAGTAAACTCCATACCTAATATGGCAGACTGCAAGAAATAAATTCTAAGTTGGACGAAGTCAGTGGAAAACTTGATACAGTGCTGGCAGAGCAGATCTGAATCAAGAATAGTCTCACAACCATCGACCTTGAAGTGAAAGGAATGTAGGTTGAATTAAAATCTTGTGTTGAAAATGGCGTGCTGCATCTGAAAAAAACAAGCTCCATTTCATCGGGCCAAACGCGTATCAGGAAATCAAGGGCTACCAAATTTTCCTGACTAATACCTTTTAAACGACGAAACGTAGCAAGAAATTGATGGAGCTTGTATATGTTAGACGCTGCAAGCCATTTTCAGCACTTCGTTGACTTAAGGCTCAGATTGTGGAAGTGTGATTTCTTGTATATTATGAATAAATGAGCCAGTACCCGGTCAAATGACATGACATGAAAATATTGGGAGGAACTGATGATGCACGCGATCGCAATGTATTTGTGCCAGATTTCTGATTTCCGCATCCATGTTCATAGCTGAACAGAGTCCTTTTTCCCTTCATAATGAAAGTATAAAAAGAATTTATATTTTTTAAACTAGATTCAAAGAAGTGCTTTCAATCAAGCGATTCTTTGCATCTTCCATCGTTTTAGAATCCCATCCCATCGTTTTGTTCCATCGTTGAATGGAAACAAAAAATTAGCAATATGTTACTTGAATAATTGGCAACATTAGGCAGGTGCCGCATAGATCCGACAACCAGCGATTCGAACGGATGCACTATACAATACCTGAACAGACTTTGGGAGGGTGGGTGGAGGCGAGGGTGGGGCGATTGGTGGAGATGGGGGGGGGGGATTGAGGAGGGGAGCTAATCCTGATCCTCTCCACCCTCTGGAGAAAGAGTGAAAGTGGAGAGAAGGGAAGTAAAAAAATGTATATAACCCCGGAGTGATTTTTTTCTGAGAACCAGTTCCATGAAGCGTTGAAAGAGTGCATCATCGCATCCTGCAGCACAGCCGCAATCAATAGATTTCCTGCGAGGCTGATCATTTCTTTTAAGAAATGTGCTTAAGTTGGGGTTGTTTTGCTACTTCTTTTCCTAATAGATGATCATATGGCATGATGTCAATATCACTAAATGTCGCAAAAATGAATGAGTCCTGAATCTGACGTGAACTTAACAGGGTCGCACTTTTCCGCCTTTGTCAATCCTGGAATCCAGGACAAAATGGCGTCGGACAAAAGGGCCCCGGATAATATGGTCCTAGGACAAAATGGCCCGGAAATTTTTGCCCCAAATGAGAAATAGGACAAAATGGTCCCTGCGGTAAAAATGTATGATGACATCTTCAAGATATAACGATAATTTTAATACTTGCATCATCTCCTCATGACTACCTTCTTAAATTAAGTTCTTTATTATCTTTAAGCTTGAAAGCACTGGGGGCTACGAATCAAAATGTTTATTTTAATCGTATCATCATATGCTATAGCAGTACAAAAGGTTCACTACCTTCTCGTTCCCCTTCTCCTATCTTGCCCATCCTCCCCGGATGGGCAAGATTCCTATTCTTCCCTATTCTATGAAATATATATTCCCGCACTTGCCTCTTTTCTTGTGATCTACGTTCCTTGACTCAGTACCCACATCCCCCCTCCCTCCATCCAACACCCTTTCGCACATCTCCGCTCACCCTTTCCCCCCTCCCCCCCCCCCTTTCCGCCTGTCAATCTGGCTTAGGCTATACTAATATTTTTAAAATATCTATATCTTCCCTTCGTTCTGACTTGATGGCTGATTTCGACTTTGTGTTCAGTCGTAATCCAGTTGAGGTTGTACCGGATTACAGCACTTGGTGATCTCGATGGCTTCCCTGTCAGATGCAAGGATATGCCTTGACCGTTAAGGTTCGATCATCCGCGCTGCTGATATTGAAGATGCTGCCCTTGCAGCGCCGCACACTCTGCATGCATTGCCACCGAACCTTATGTTTCGTGTGCACGAAGCCTTCCGACCTTCGTTCCTCCTTGAATGGCCTTGATAGTCTCCGCCGTAGAAATAAGAAGAGAACATGGAGAGTTCTTATAAAGAAACCGAAAATGCTAATGAATGACAGTACTATTTAAGAAATTACGAGGGAAAGTCATTAAATCACAGGAATTTTATCATGAAGTGCATGGAAAAGTATGCACAATGAAAAATCTTATTTCAGGACACAAAGTGGCTCCTTAGCAATACCCCATATAGGGGTCGTGACGATGAAGCAGTATGCACCTGCGCAATAGCTCGTACAACATGGCCGCTCCACTGTCGACTTGCACCGCGGAAGAGCAATGAGGCGTTATTCTTTTTTCGTGGTCAGAGGGTGCGAAACCTTCTGAAATCTACAGGAGAATGAAGGTTCAGTATGGAGACAGCTGTTCGAGTCAGGGGAAAGTGTATGAATGGGTGGAAAGATGTAAAAACGGAAGACAAAACGTCAGTGATGAACACCGGAGTGGGAGACCAGTTAGTGTGGCAACTGAGACGGTGAAACAGCAGATCGAGCAGCGAATCCGTGACAACAGGCGAGTCACTATTGATGAAATAAAAACGGAAGACAAAAAAACGTCAGTGATGAACACCGGAGTGGGAGACCAGTTAGTGTGGCAACTGAGACGGTGAAACAGCAGATCGAGCAGCGAATCCGTGACAACAGGCGAGTCACTATTGATGAAATTGCCGTAGAATTCAACATGAGTTGTCAATTCAATTCAAAATTGTCCATGATGACTTCGGGTAAAATAAAGTGTGTAGCAGATGGGTCCCGAGGCAGCTGTCCGATGATCACAAGCGTGCACGGCAGACAATTTGTCAGGAGCATTTGGACCGTCGTGCATGTGAAGGAAATGCTTTTCTCCATGGAATTGTGACATGAGACGAGTCCTGGGTGCACCATTATGAACCAGAGAGTAAGAGACGATCGATGCAGTGGAAGCACACGTCGTCTCCGGCCGAGAAAAAATTCAAGACACAGGCTTCCGCCGGGAAAGTCATGCTTACCATCTTTTGGGATGTCGATGGCCCTATATTGGTGCATTTCCAGGAAAGGGGTGAAACTGTGACTAGTGCTCGATACAGTCACAAGCTAGTGAACAAGTCGAAGCCCGCGATACGATCGAAACGCCGGAGACTTCTCTCAAAAGGAGTATCGTTGCTGCACGACAACGCCCTCCCCCATACGGCTGCGCATCCAGTGGATACACTACGCACTCTGAAATTTGAGGTATTGAAACATCCAGCATCCAGTCCGGACTTGGCGCCATCGGACTTTCACTTGTTAGGACCTTTGAAAGAACATTTGCGGAGTCAGAAGTTTGCAGATGACAACGAGGTAATGGAGGCGGTGCAAAGTTGGTTAAAGGCCACACCAAAAAGCTTTTTTCTAGAGGGCATCCGCAAGCTTGTGGACAGGTGGACCAAGTGTGTTGCGAAGCAGGGGGACGATGTCGAAAAATAAGACACGAATAATTTCTGTAAGTACTCTTGTAAAAAAGTTATTAATACTGTTATTTAATGACTTTCCCTCGTACAATGCATGAGAGGCGCTCAAATGCATATTATAATAAATACCGCGTCACGTTGACCGACTCGTTCCAGTTGTCGCCGTTTGCATTGGGCCTCACTCGGGACTGGCTCCCCCGATTTATTTCCTTCCCACCACATTTGCCGAGAGGAGAGT